TGAAGAGGGGCAACAGAGTGTAAGAGCAGCAGAAAAGTTATTCCAGGAGTTTTGTTTGCAAGAGGGCCCAAATCATCTAAACATGTTACAGGAATACTATGTAATGTCTACTACAGGCAGAAAAGAAGTAGAAAAAACTCTCAGTGTACTTGTAGAAAATAAAAAAAAAAAAATAGTTAAAATGTTCTTTAGATCTTTTCATGCTCATTCCTTCCTGTTGCAAGTTGCATGTAGGCTCCTGATTTGCTTTTTCACCTGTTTTTTCTCCACAATGAATAGCRTTTTCTTCTTAACTTTAAACTAAAATTATGGAAATTAAATTAAAGTTAATATTAAAATACTATGTATGAATGTTTTTACTACTTTTTCCATGCTGAGTAAGGACTAAGAGACAGACTGTAAGCTGTTTATCTTGTWCTTTTTCCTCTTTACTTAAAGTCCAAGTGAAGTTTTCCAGTAAGCACAGTGGGCAAGATTCTGATGTCATAAGTGCTAAACTTTTCCTTTCATTTCAGTGGAGTTAGGAGTGTCTATAACGTTCCACAGACTAAATTTTCYAAAGCATGCAATTTATTTGCTTGTAGAAAAATCACACCCATAACTCTTAGGAGTTATGAAAACTGTAGATTTCAGTAAACTGCTTTCTAGTGCAACSGTTACTTAAATACTGAAATGGGAGATTGAGTTAGAGAGTGAATGTTCTGCAGAAACTGGAACAAGATCAAGCTACTCTGCTGTCAAAAGTAAATAAATAAGACATTATTTCTCGAGAATTTTCTTTCAATTCTGTGTGGTGATTAAACAGTTTGAGATATTGATCTTTTGCTCCTCTCTTTAGATTTTTCAATGTAATCAAATCAATATTGGGAAATAACAGAGTGAAATTACACCTAACAGAGCACTTTGGTCCTACCCAGCAAAACAGTTCATTATGAGCTGCAAATGAATACTTAATGATTTTAATGGAGCTTTATGAATGCTCAAAATTAATCACCAATCATTAAACATATTAAAGGAGGTAGCAAGTTTTTCTCCTTAAAGGAGCCCTTTGACCTTGGTTTGATGAGCAGTGTTTTGGATAATTAAGAGTCTAACCATCCAAATTCTTCATTCTGCACTGAGGAAACGCTATCACACAGACAGCACCCAGTTGCAAAATATTAATTCTGAAAATTGTATCATCACCTGGACCCGGGGAAATGCTTTGCTTTTTGTAGCTTATGTGCTCAGACAGACTGAAAAGCTTTTAGAGGAGCTTTAATGACAAGAACTTTTGATTCCTCTATTCCATCTAGTTTGCCAAAAAATATGTTTCCCTGATATAAAGATTTAATACATAAATTTTATATTTAATATATAAATTCATCTTTCTTATGGGATTTTGGGAACCTCTCTGTAGGAATTCAGGTGCACAGGTGTTGTACTGCCTCACCACTCTCATGATGAATAATTTCTTCCTAAATATCTAATCCAAACCTGCCTCTGTCAGTTTGAAGCCATTTCCCCTTGTCCCATCACTCCATCTCCATGTCCTTGCCAGAAGTCCCTCTTCAGGTCTTTTGTAGCTCCTTTAGGTGCTGGAAGGTGCTTTACGCTGCCTTTTTTTTTTTTTTTTTTTTTGGAAGGAAAACATTCAAATTATTTTGGGAGTGACCGAATGACCCAAGTCCATGTGATACTTAAAACAGAGTGCTGAGGCCAGAATTCAACTTGAACGATTAGCAGAAGTAAACTGTGAGTTGTCAGATGCTGCTGACTATAAAAAGTGGGGTGTTAGTTGTTGTTACTCATATCCCCACTCACTGAGCCTCATGTACTGGTTTACTCTGAGTAAAACAYGTGCCAAAGGCAGCCCTGGAGCCATCACCTCCCCAGATGGTGCAGAAAGGTTTTAAACAAAACCAGTAACCCTGTCATTTGCAGCAGTCTGTGTTAAGAACATTCTATAAGGCCTGACATCTCCAGCAGCACCGGGAGCTGGGATTTCTCCTGCCCAGCTGCTGGAGCCCTGCCTGGCGTGCCCTCAGTGGGAATCTGCTCTGGGATCTCCTGCTTGCCTCCTACTAATGGAAACATGGAATCATCAAGGYTGGAAAAGAACTCTGAGTTCATYAAGTCCAGCCACTTATCCWGCACAGGCCCCTTGAAAACCCCAAATCATCAAGTTCACTTTTTTCTTTCTTATTGGCAGCACCATCCAGGTTATCTCCCTCTAAAGCTCAGCCTGAAGCTCCTTAATGGCCCCTCAGTTCTGGTCTGGACATTTCACTCCTCATCATCACCCTGTTCATCTCTTGTCTGCCAGATTTGTGTCCCTGTGTTTTGTTTATCCCTTTTCYTTTTACTTCTTATCCCCTGTGAACTGAAAATGTCCTTGATCTTGTAGCTTTCATGAGTCTGATTCTCTTGTGTGCCTTCAGCAGTTTGTGCATCAAACTTGTTTAAAAATCACTCTCAGAGCAGAGTTCCTGTGTGCTTTAGAACTTCCCCCTGCACCTCAGCTGCCCCATAAATTTATGAGGCAGCGTTTCTGAATCTCAGCTGCCCTATAAATKTTTAGGGTAGCATTTYTCATGGATGTGCACATCCCAGAGTSTGCTAAACAGGGATGTTATTCAGACAATTGCCCTTTCCAGCAAACATCATCGTGTGCAACATCAGTAAATAYGGATTCAGCATGTGTATTTCACAAGACCAACTTTAAATCTGATAAACATTTTTACCATTAAAGTGAGTGTATACATATGGTATGTCTAGAATTCAGTTTGTGCTCTGAGGCCTCCCCTGAAAGCTGACTTTATCATCATCTGTGTGCTCAGTAACTCCAACTGGATGTCATAGAATCCACYCAAATATCCTCATTTTGCTTGTACAGTCCTGKAATCTTTCCCCACCATCCATCCCAYCCCTCACAACCCTCTTTATGCTTCCCATSTCTCTAAAATATTCTGCTCACCCASAAAATGCTTCTGTCATCAAAATATTTCATTCTGATTCTGTGCAAACATGGACAAAAGGCTGTATACTAATTAAACTGGGCTAGATCACTAATTRACMGAMTGATTCCAGAGATCCAATTAACTGRACAGTGCTGTAGCACTAACTCAGATGCTGCCCTGCACTGTCTGGACAGAAAACTGTTAAAGCTCTCTGTCATAGCCATGGTTTGCACCAGCCCATGCTCCTCATAGCAACTTTTACACATGGTTTGCAAAGCCAATATGGATAAGGACACAGAGGCAGCATGGATGGGACCTTTCTCTTCCAGAGGTGAAAGGGTTTTGCCATATGGACACAAACAGGGCCACTTGAATTGGTTTTGTGGTGATGGGGTTGGACTTGATGAGCCTTGCGGATCCCAGAGGAAAGCACAGTGATCCCTCCAGTGCTCTGCATGGAGACAATGCCTGGAGTGGAGGAATTCTGAGAACAGCTGTAATTCATCATCCCCAGTGTGATTTATTTCTCCTCTGGGCATTACAACCCAGCCCAGCATCAAAGGCACAGTGATGACAGCTCGTGCATGGCAGATTATGGACAAGCGACTGCTCAAGAGAAACGCCACAGTGACCAACAGGAGAACAAACAACTGCATTCCTGAACAGCTCTGTATGAAAGGAATACATAAAACCTTTGGRAAAATTAATTAGTGGTAGAAAATGAGTGAGTTGGCCAGGCCTAACAGGGATGATGAATGCAGTGAAGATGAGGGAAGAGGCYGCTTGGGTGGGAGGCCACTTTCTGACCTCCCACCAGAGCTAACTGAAAACTAAAAATGTAAGTGATGTAAGGGGGGAAAATGTGCTCAGTGACTGAAAGAGGGTCTCAGTGGTGAAATATCTCAATGAACTTTTTATGGCTCCCGGTAAAATAAAAATGATTTGTTAAAGAAGATTGTTAGGATCGTATGGGGAAGGTCCTGGCTTGTGCATTCCATGGAGGATGGATCCCATTAACACACCTGGCTGGGTCACCCTTGCTGTCTTCTCCACCTCATTCCCTTACCTGTCCCCTTTTTGACTTGACAGCTGCTCCCTGACTGCAGTTCAAGGTGAGCTTTACTTCCCACCCATTGATGGTCTGTGTGTCCCAAGGAGATTTTCCCTAACTACAGACACAAGTCTTTGGGTTTCCATCAGCTGCAGGCATTTCTTGTTTCCTTCCTCTCTAGACACAAAAAGCAGGGCTGTATTTAATTGTATATTTAATTGTATATTTAATTACATATTTAATTTTATATTTAATTTTATATTTAATATATTTATATTTAATATATTTATATTTATATTTATATTTATATTTATATTTATATTTATATTTATATTTATATTTTATATATTAATATATTTATATATTTATATCTATATTTGTATGTAGATATCGATATCTATATTTTTATTTTTATTTTTATCCCTTTAATAGCTTTTTAAAGTTTATTTTTATTTAACTGAAGAATTTATGCATCTGCTATGCTTCCATATTGATCCTTTAAAAACTACACTCTATAAATCATGATGTTCCATAAGTACAAAATATAGGGAACTGCATTTAGTGGGGATATAAAAAAAGCCGTGGTTTTGTTTATCTATTCGATGAAGATCAGTTCACATTACACAGAGTAGCAGAAAGCTGGACTGACAAATAAACCTTGTATTACAAGGAAATAATACAATATATGCATCCACAATTGTTAGTCTCAAGTGTTGGCCTCTCAAGCCTGGGTCTGCCCTGGGTTGTTTTTRCCTTGATCTGAGAGAACTCCAAATTTCTCAGGATTTTTCTGCCTCGTGAGAACCATACAGTGTGGAGGTGTTTGTGTAACCTTGGGCTCTACACCCAGCAGTTGGGTTTTTTCCACACAGAGAACATTTTTGATCAGTTTAATGAGTTATGGGTATAGATAAGCTGTATTGATCCCAAATTTAGAACACAGCTTCTTAGCAGATATTTTAGTATAAAAAGACATTTTCTGGAGAAAAAATGCCACCACTTCACTAAAGATGATTCAGTTCCTGGTTCTTCTTGGTTGCCTGGGTAAGTTGCAATTTATWTGAGCTGGGGAAGGGTGAATTTCTCAGCCTCTGAGTGGTGCAGATTAGAGCATATCAATTTTTTCTCACTGCAGTTTCTGTGCTGGGGCGAAAYCAAATGTGGAAGGGTTTTCCTGTATAGCAGGAGCATTTTTCTCAGCGAGAAAAATCTGGAGTTCTCTGAGGGAGCAGAAAAATAAAAATAAAGGGGATGTAGGTGCACCAGGGTGGGATTGGAGTATGGTACACAAGATTTTATACAAGAGTTTTGTATCTTGGAGTCTGTTCATGCTCTTTTTCACTCATGGGGGCTTGAAGAAGCCTCCAGGACTGAGTGATCACAGTGTCACCATGTGTGAGCCTCGACCTCTCCATCTTCCAGACCTTGCTGGCTGKGCCTGTCACTGAAACTGYGGGGAAAACAAAAACTCTCCAACAACATTTTAATGTTAGAWAGTCAAGCCATTGCTTTATTTTCTGGCTGGGATGTTGTCCTGGCCAGGATGTGCCACAGAAAYAATTTCATCCACACATAGCCCAGGTGTGCAGAGAAAATCATTCCAGGACACATGGATTTTATGAGGTTTCCCCCCAAACTTTATACAGTCAAAACCCACAGARCTTTATTGGTTTAATGTTCATTGGTTCACCTTGTGCAGTTCTCAGGATCTGGGTTCCTATTGGATCTGGATTTCCTCTCCTCTGATGCTGATCAGGTCCTGCTTTTTATCTCTTTATTTTTCCCAGCCCAGATGTGTCCGGCCATGCCAGGGATGAGTTTGGGGCTGATGTTTTGTTAACAACCATTGATGATCGTTGATGTTGTTATAATTTGTCCTTCTCCCTTTGTGCTCTGGTGAGATGTAACCTCCTCAGGCCACACCTGGTGGAACAATGCCCTGCAAAGAAACTTTAGCGCCCTTCCCCCAGCGCAAAGGCAAACAAAATCTGACTAAAGTTACATAAAAATCTTTAATTTGGTATATTTTCCACCATGCTGATAATTTCTGTTTAGGAATCCTCATGACAAAATGTTCTCCTTCCTTTTTTTTTGTGTTAGGGGTGATCTCTGGGACTCCCTTGAGGGATGCTCTTCAGAAGGATGTGCTGGCAGAGCGAGTCATTGGAGGCCACGAAGCCAAGCCAAACAGCTGGAAGTGGCAGGTACTGCTGGTGTATTTTACTTGAAAAAAAAAATAAGCCTTAAATAAGAAAAAAAAAAACAACAACCCAAAACAGTGAGAAAATAACAGCTTCCACTGTCCAGAGCCACACACACCATTTCTGCAGAGGCATGGCAYGGCTTGGGTGTAAAATATGTTGTTTTCTGATCCAGGTATCCCTTCAGATCTCCTACCCCAATGACCCGGGGTACTACGCCCACATTTGTGGTGGAACYCTCATCAGCAGCAAATGGGTCATGACTGCAGCCCACTGCCTCAGYGTGTGAGTAGGATAAAATGTGCTCAAACTCCTGCTCTGCTCCTCGTTCCTGCTGCAGATGGGAGCCAGACCCTTCTCCTCCTCAGAGCTCCCCACTGGTGCCCTGCCTTGCACAGCTGGACATCTCCCTGCTCTCTCAATCAGGGCAGCTGGAAAACTCTGCTTTAGCCTCGATTTTACATATTAATCGCTGACTTCCTGGGAGTGGAAATCAAGCTGATTGCTGATTTGCATAAGAGGAGRTGCATTTGCATTCGTGTGAGCATTCCTCATGGGTTTGCGTCCCGAGAGAGCCGCACAGAGAAGGAAAGATGGAATAAAAAKGGGGCTGTACAAAGTGTACCCCCTCATGCACCCCCTCAATTACTCCATGGGACACCAGCAAGCCAAGACCCCCTTTTGCTGCTCCTCCTTTGGTGATTGTACTGCCAGTAAAAGGCAACAAGCTGGTCCTTCACACTCTGCTCCAGAAAAGTGCAGAAATGCAAAATGAACCTTCCTGTTCRAGACCAAGCACAGCATTTCAGTGGCTGATGCTGAACCTTCAGTTTCTCTAYCAGCAAACTGCAGCCAGTGCCTGATTCATAAGACCACTTAGAAACATAATTTAGGTTAGAAACAATCTTTAAAATCACTGAGTCCAGTCATTAACACTGTCCAACAGTGTTAATGTAGATYCCAGTCCACTACTGCCAACCCCACCATTAAACCCCCATATGCCACATCTGCACCTCTTTTAAATCCCTCCAGGGATGGTGATTCCACCACTGCYCTGGGCAGCCTCATCYAATGTCTGACYAACCTTTCAGTGAAGAAATTTTTCCCAATATTCACYGGTGGTTCCCTCTCATTCTGTACTTCTTACCTGGGAGAGGAAACCAGCTCCCACCCTCCTAGAACCCTCTTCTCAGGTGGTCGCAGAGACCCACAAGGTCCCCTTTGAGCCTCCTTTTTTCCAGGCTGAACACCCCCAGCTCCCTCAGCCACTCCTCATCRGATTTGTGCTCCTTCACCATCTTCCTTGCCCTTCTCCACATTCACTCACAGTGAATTTGGCTACAATCTATCAAAAATCCTCTGCTGGAATGTGCTTTGGCAGCGATGACACTGGCGGAAGGTCTGGGTGGTGCARGGACTGCACTGTAAAGCATTCAGTGGGAAGTAATTTATTCATTAATTACCCTGTGATTAATTTCCAGCCCCCCGGGAGCATCCTACCGTGTGGCTCTGGGTGAGCACAACCTCCTGGAGGTGGATGGCACCGAGTACCACCTTGGTGTGGATTCAATCTTCATCCATGACAGCTGGAATCCCAGCGACATTGCCAATGGGTAATTGTTTTTAATGCCATCAGATGTTTGGATGATCCTGTCCCACTGATGTTTATGTGCGTGTTCAGCCCAACACTCTGTGAGGCTGGGTTTGTGGGAACACTGGAAGATTGTGAGGGGAGGTTTCCCAAATGGTTCCTTGGCGTCCTCAGGGATGACCTCAGTCCTGTTTTGCCCAAGATGGTGAAAAGACAGGGCTGTTTTCCCCATCTTGGAAAAAAACGGATCCAGGATGCAGAGAACATCAGCAGGCTTGCCTGCAGTCACGGTACTGTGAGCATGTGACAAAAGAAAACCAATAAGAAAATGCTGAAGAACTGTGTCAAACCCCTCTCAGAGACATGTCTGTCAACCCAGAGCCCACCAAAACTCACTCCAAAACTGTAGGAGACTTTGGGGGGGCATTATTTATCCTTTTATCAGTCCATACCATGGCCTCTTCTCTCTTAATTGCTCTGATTTTCCTGACACTTGTGACAGCTCTAAGGAATAATTAATGATGTTTGCAAAGAGCTTGTCTATCATCTCACAGAGACTGRAGATCTGTGTGAGTGACAAAATGGGTGTGAGGGTGTCTGATTTCTGCCTCATCCAAGGATTTCCAGTAAGGAATCTCTCCCCTGTGCCCCGTTCCAGCTATGACATCGCCCTGCTGCGCCTCGAGTCTCCTGCCAGCGCCAACGGCTTCGTAGAGCTGGGAGCGCTCCCACCCAAGGGAAACATTTTGCCCAATGACTACCCCTGCTATATCACGGGCTGGGGAGTGGTCAGTGGTGAGTAAGGGGCAAGGAGGAGTGTCCAGAGGGACCATTACAGGACTAAAGCTTCCTTGTTCCCCCCCTGGAGCTGCCAGGCCCAGGTGTCACCCTTTCTCATGTCACCTGTCCATGCAGCGGGCAGTGGCACTGCGGACAGGCTGCAGGAGGTGATGCTGCCRGTGGTGGACCACGAGATCTGCTCCCAGGAGGACTGGTGGGGATCCCAGGCCAAGGACAGCATGCTSTGTGCAGGTGGAGATGGCGTGAGGGCAGGATGCAGTGTAAGAGCTCCTATCATTGGAGRGTTTTCAAGCCGCCCTCTTTCATTTTCCTTCTTCTCTCCCTTTGCTGTGTCTTCAGTTCTGATTTTCCCATTTCTTCACCTGCAATAGCTCTTGTAAAAGTCCTGCCCCTTTGCTGCTTTCTGCTGAATATCTTCTGAACCAGGCCTTCCTCACCTTCCTCCAGAGATCAGTGAGCAGAGAGAAAAACCTGCAGATCCTCACGGTGCACCTCTCCCTTCTGATTTTGGAGAGCAGATTGGCCCTGTCTTCCAGCAGCATGTCCCAAGGATCAGATCCTGGGGACGAGGGTGAAACCTTGGTGGTCACCTCTGCCCTGACCCCAAGGGTGAAACTGCAGGGAGGTTTGCCCACTCCTCCAATGGTGCTGTCATAGGCAGTGCTACCCTCTGCTTGCCACCCTTCCCTTCCCAGACACTCTGTTTACAGCTGAAATTACTCCTGAGGTTTTGGCTACGTCCAGCTGCTCCCTCTGGTCCAGGTTAGGTAGAAAARGAAGATGTTGTGAGGTTCCCATTATCCCAGGGGCTCCAAGTGGCCTYAGCATCAAGGCAAGGAGGTTTGGCACCTGAAGTCAGGGAATATTTGTTACCTCTGCCTCTGCTCCCTTCACTGCAGGGGTGACTTCTGATAAAAGCAACCATAAAGAGCCCTTAAAAAATTTTTGACAGAAATTGTGGACAAATACATAATGTRTGATTATGTAAAYACARGAATRTAATATAGAAACATATAGAAATAAAATGTACAATTATACATAGTAGAGTTACAGGTATAGGATAATTGTAGATCTGTGGATATTGAGTGTATTTTTTGTGTGTTTTAATTATGTCAAAACCTTGTTACAAACCAGGTTTTGAGCCAAGGAAGAGCCTTTATCTTCTCATACATTCTAACTCTCTAGTAGTCCTTAATCCAAGCCAGTCATTGCTCAGATAATTTGGCTGAATATTTCCTTTCTCTCCTCCCATCCAGGGGGACTCTGGGGGCCCTCTCAACTGCTACAGGGATGGTCACTGGGAGRTCCATGGCATTGTGAGTTTTGGTTTGGTTCCCTACTGTAACACCTACCAGAAGCCCACAGTGTTCACTCGAGTGTCAGCCTACGTGGACTGGATCTACAGCGTAAGTTCCTTTGTGCCTGGGAGGTGACCTGGTGCATCTCCCCCTGAACCGAGGCATTCCCAGGGCAATTTTTGATTTATTTTTCATCCATTTTTCATTCAGAGGAGTTTTTTGTTTATTAAACCATTAAGAGTGGAATGGGGGTATAGGGGGAGGTCTAAAATCAAGATATTTGATGCTACTTTTGATGTAGGCAAACAATTGTGTGCAGCTGTAAGCTGCTGCCTCAGAGCTGAAATGCTCTTCTGAGGGCCACAGACAAAATTCAAGCCAGGCAGGAGCTGGGCTYTGTGTCCAAAAAATTATCATCACCATTCACCCAGACAAAACCTTGCTGCAGGAAACCAGGGAAGGAATTAACTGGATGGGAAATGCAGCAAACATGAAAYGTCTCTACGAATGCAAGTCCTGCAGTGCTGCACTGTCCACCCTCAGCTTTACATTTRGGGATGAACAGAGAGCTCTTTGCTCCTAGAAATAATAACAGGCACAAAGAGCAGCCTTTTCCCAGGCACAGGGGATGGCTTGGTGGAAATGCCTCTGTAAGTTGTGGGTCCTTCTGGAAAGAAAGGCAGGGAGAGGTATTTTAAATCAGTGTGGGGTAGAAGGAGATCCATGAACCTTTTTGGGTGGGAGCAGGTTGTCAGAGCAGTGCCCTGGCCCAGCWGGGAACAAGCTCTTCTCCAGAGCATTCCCTGGGGTGGAGACTTGCTTTATTCTGCCTCTCTACTGAATTAATCTCTTTTTTGCTTTCCAGACCATGGAGAATAATGGAGGTTTCTAGAGAAGGAGTGACTGGTGCATGAATATATGAAATGGAATGAAGTATCGTGCTTATTAACCCTCCTCTCATCCTTTCTGCACCTCTCCGGGCTATGAGCAGCAAGATTTGGCCAATATTGGTGTAATAAAGTCCCAGTGAGTACAGGCAGTGATGTGCTGATGTGTTTGCTCAGCCTTAAGCTCAGGCCCTGTCAGCAGGGAAGGAGGCTCAGGGAATRCCCCAGTCTGTGACAGTGCCCTTAMCCTGGGCAAGGCTGTCATTTTGGCACCAAACCTGCAGGAAATGGTTTTTCTCATTGAGGGGCTCCTTGGGGATAACCCCAGCAGAGGCAGARGTGGTCAGTTTGGTGCTTCCAGGGATGGGAGCAGAGCCATGTGTGATGCTGCTGGGMACAAGCACAAACGTTCCTGTCCTGATCTGTTCTCACAGCAGCCAGYAGAGGTTTTGCTTGCAGAACTGAGTTCTCTTCATATTCCCAGACAAACAGGTTCAATCCATCTCTGCTCACAGAGAGAGCATTTGCCTCAAGTGTACTGGCAAACTCAACCTACAGAAAGCACAGTCTATCCAACTTATGCTTAAATTCACTCTGTACAGGCTGTTTTTTTGTTTTTTTTTTTAAATGATTTTTTAAGGTGGGGAGCACAGAAAAGGGCATTTCTGGAGGGTGCTTTTCTAGGCAGGAACGAATAAATTCCACGTAAAACAATCCCCTGTGCTGTTGGGTGTGCAGGGGCCCTTACTCTACAGCTGGGCAAGCCTGTCTGCAGTGAATAAGATTTCTAAATATTTCTAAATATTAACCACTCCCTATCAGACACACAGCAGGGCTGGTAAAGGGAGGGAAGAAGGAAGAGGGGGAGATGCATGTGCACAAAAAAGCAAGATTTATCTTCTGATCARCTTCAAACCATCCCTTCCACATCCCTGGAAGTGTCCAAGGCCAGGTTGGACAGGGCTTGGAGCAACCTGGGATAGTGGAAGGTGTCCCTGCCCATGGCAGAGGTTGGAATGAGGTGACCTTTAAGGTCTCTTCCAACCCAAACTATTTATTTTATGATTCTATGAACTACAAAACCATCTTATTGGAAAACAGCCAATCTTCCCTCTCCCTTTTTTGCTCGTGAGCTGCACATTTATGGACGAAGGATTTYGATTGAGCAGCTCTTCAATAATTTTTGAGCACCTATATCCCATCTCTCCTGTAAYCTGCACACACCTAAGACATAGCCCTAATTTAGAAAAATAAAAATTCCTCTTCGGGAAATGCACATTTCTCCTCTCCGAGAGCCACTAGAGGGCATTGGCCAACCGAGGGAATGTCCCACAGGGTTATCACCGACTACTAGAGGAGTTTTTGGGCCAAGACTGATAACATGGCATGTCTCAGCCTTGCACTCTGCCCTCCGTMTTTGCTTTCAGACCCACAGATAAGCAGTGGCACACAGGAGCTGCTTTTTGCCTTTTTCACCTCTGTTTCCCAGAGCTCCGCTCTGCAAATGGTTAAAGCTTCCTTATGGCAAACAAAAATGAAACCAGGGGCATTTTCGTAAGGCTGGTGAGGGAGCAAAGTCCTGCCTGCATTTTTGGCTCTCAACTTTATTAGGCTACACTTGGCAGCGTTTCCTGGGTGCTCAGCAGTTCTYCTCTTCTGGAAAGTTTAAAACCCCCTGAATCTCAGCTTTTTTACCCCTTAATGGGGTAAAATGGTTCTTGCTCCTTTTAAGACAGCATGTGTGACTTGTGCTGCTACCTCATAGATCACAGAATCACAGAATAGGCTGGGTTGGAGGGGATCTAAAGTTATCATCTGGTTCCAAGCCCTGTTCCATGGACAGGGACATTTCTGTGAGACCCTGGCTCTGCTCTGTCCCTKCAATGTCCACTCCAAGAGCAGTGAACAGCCACATTTCAGGAGCACACCGGCACCTGAAACCTTGGCCTGACTCTATTCCAGTTTTTCTTTTAAGTTTCAGAAGGAGTTAAAAAGATGCAGGTCAAAGGCTTTGAGAAAAGATAGTTTTTAAAGGGAGCCTGTCAAACTATTCCTAGAAATTGCTCAGATGCTGAGAAGTGAAGAATTGCTGCACCTGATGCCTGGGGTGGGAGTCTGACCCTGTGTGCCTGGTGCATGGGGGGATTTGGGGATGTCCCAGGGGGTCCCAATTTCTCATCAGCCTCCATTCCTGGCCAGGGCTGAGCAGAGTTGGGAATTATTTGGGATATTTGGGGGAATTATTTGGGATATTTTTGAGAATTATTTGGGATATTTTTGAGAATTATTTGGGATATTTTTGGGACCACGCCAGGAATTTAGCAAGCATGCACGTGCCTTGCCACAACCCAAACCACCACAGCCCTGCCCTGATTGTCCCCTGATGTGACAGCAGTGACAGGCTGTCGCTGCTTCTGCCCCCAGCTTTGCACAGGGCAGCAGGTGCTTGAAACCTCTGGCAAGCTGCCGTGAAATCCAGGCTGGACATCGCCCTGAAATCCAGGCTGGACATTGCCCTGAAATCCAGGCTGGACATTGCTCCTTTAAATCCTCTGCCAGGCAGGAGCAGAAACGTCAGGCTGTACCCGCAGGAGCGGGAGAATCAGGTGCTGGAGCTGCAATTCAGGGTCGTTATCGCGGCCCCGGTGCCAAGAGCAGCGTTTTCTTTCCGCGTTCTGCTGGCAGGAACAGCTTGTGCTGCTCAGCCGTGATTTATGGCGAGGGATAAGAGGGAGGAGGGAGCTGGCAGCACACGGGCAGGACGCGTGTGCCTCTGCTGTGCCTCCTTCACCCCTCGCTAGCCCAGCGCCTGGCTGGAGCTCCCTGTTCCCAGGAATCTCTGATCCCAGGAATCTCTRATCCCAGGAATCCACCAGTGSAAAGTGCARMGCTCCACAGGATTTACTGCCTGGAGATGATTTAACAGCAAAATAATGTCCAGTGGTACTGGGAAAACACGGCTGGGTGCAGTGTTATAATGCTCACATTCTTATCCCCCAAAACTGYGTGGTGAGGATGCAGCAGAACCAGGGAAGGAGGTAGATTTTGGAAAGTTGGTGCTTTCCACACCTTTATGGAGAGCAGGAAAAGGAGACAACCATGACAACAGCAGAATTGTCTCCTGGGGGGCTGGCTCAGCCAGGTGCAGGTTGCTCTGCTGAGCTGTGAGGCTGGCTGCAACACTTTTGAGATATTTTTGGGAGGAAAGGCTGCAGGTGCTGTGAAATGGGGAGTGCAGGAATCAAATAGAGTGGTGAGTGACAACAGGGATGTCTGAGGACATCCCATCCCATCCCATCCCATCCCATCCCATCCCATCCCATCCCATCCCATCCCATCCCATCCCAT